TGGCGGGGAACGGTGGGGGGTGAAAGGGAAGGGAAGGGAAAGGCATGAAAGGTGGGTGGAGCGGGATGGAAGGGGGAGACGAGCGGGTTCATACCCCCACAAACTCGCGAAGACGAAACGATTGGATGTACTGCAGAAGACAGGCGAGACGGCTGTAGAAGGGGGAGGGGGGAGAAGGGAGAGAGCAAAGGAGAAGATGCTTGAGAGAGAGAGAGAGGGAGGGAGGGAGGGTAAGTGGCAATTACCTGTTGACATTGAATGCGATCCTGAAGTTCTCTTCGACCTCCTCTTCGAACCACAGGTGCTTGGCTGCCATTGTTGTAAAGGAAGTGCTCCTGTCAGCGCAACGTAGGGTGTGAGAGGACACGTCTTGAAGACAGGAGATCGAACGCTGGGTGTGCGCAGCTATGGCTGAGGGTGAAGCTCCAGTGCCGCGCGCAGCGTTACGTTGCGACAAAGCGGCAGGCGGACACAATCGCAGCAGGGAGGATATTTGTCTCACGGGTAGGGTTACAGCAAAACGGCAGCAAGGCACAGAAGAGCGATGCAGGTCACCGCAGCGTCCGAGAAGAAAACTTCTCAGGTGGCCTCCGCCGCCCCATGCGCGCATTGCCGCTTTCCCCTCTCCCCTCTCTCTCCCTAACCTCGCCGCTTACAGTTGATTGACCCACAGACCGGATCCGCCCGCGCGCATCGCCGCTTCCTCCTCGAGATGATCGAGATCCAGCTCACCCTGTCAAGACGCAGTACACTGTACACGCGTGCGTACGACGATGGAAGAACGAGGGTGAGAGAGGATGTGAAAGAATGAGACACAGAGACACAGATACAGACACAGGCAGGGGCAAAGACAGCCACAGGGTCACAGAGGGAGTGCCAGAGACAGGACAGAAAGGCTATCAGTAGCACGTTCGATTGCTTATCGGGCTGGTGAAAGAGAGGGGGAGCGGAGAGAGTGGGCACGACGGACAGACCGACAAAGAGATAGGGCAGGAAAGTTAACAAAAAAAAAACAATTCCCTACCCTATTTGCAGGCTTACCCTGCCACTGTCAAGTGTACTGCTATGCCGTGATCGCCCGCCGCATCGCCAATGAGGCAAAACGGCTGCGGCTCAATGGCTAACGGGCAATTTGCAACCGTGCCGAGGTTGGGGCGCCGGCGAAGTTGGCGAAGTTGACAACACTGACAAAAAGTCGGCAAAGCCGGGATGAAATGGTATCTCTTGACAGTTCAAAATCATTAGGTGTCCAGCAACGGGCCTAGCTCATGAGTCGGTGAAATACAGACCCAAGGTCGAATCAGGCGAACGTCATAAAATAATTATGAATTACCTCGAACCGATCAGTTCAATGATGATATCTCTATTACCAAGAAAATCATGAACATGGACCACTTGCCAGCTCGGGTGCAGGAGATGTGTAATGATTTGAAATGACCAAACGAGATCGCTGTCCTGAATGCTTATCTCCTGGTAACAAGGTTACTGTTGCGGCTTCGCCCGCAAAATAATGAAAAGGGAAAAGGGTGCAAATGCGGGTGGGTGGGGGTTTGTTGGTCCGTGTGTGGATTTGGGTGGGGCCGGGGTGTTTTTTAGGCTCACCTGTGCACTGTTGTTGACACTGCCGAGGGAATGCTGCTGCTGCTTTGTATGCCTTGTTTTTTTTGCTTTTTTGTCCTATCAGAGACCTGATCACAGTTTGCATTCCTTTCAGTTGTGGTTTTCTAGGTAGGTGGTGGTTCGGGTTTGAATTCAGCTGTTGTGTGTGTGTCACACGTTGCATACCTGTCTCCCGCTCACCACAAATATTATTTCTCAGATTCCGGGAGATACGCAATTCTGTGATAGTGTGGGCGGGGAAGGGGCAGGCCGTGTAATTAGTTAGATTGTGCTCTCTCTCTCTCTCTCTCTCTCTCTCTCTCTCTCTCTCTCTCTCTCTCTCTCTCTCTCTCTCTCTCTCTCTCTCATGCAAC